GTTGATAGCCCTGGTAAGATTGATGTTCCAGGTATAAGAAGCTTATCACACTCTTAAATAATACGACTTACCCGATCCAGTTTAAAATTTAAAGCGGGCAGCATCCTGATATTATCAGAAGGATTTAGCCACCGAAATCACTGTCCAGGTCCATCCTGGCTCCATCCCCACTCCCAGGGCCACTCCGGTGGCCATTTTCTCAAGCCAGAAAACTCCCGGATTTGAAAAGAGGCGCGCTGGGTGCCCCTGGGAGTGGGTATGGACCAAGGATGGACCCAGGTGGCGATTTTGGTGGCTAAATCTTTTGATAATATCCGGATGCCGCCTGATATTTTGATTCAATCAAATTTATATTGATGAGTATAGGTGAATATAAGAAAGATGGTTGGATTTAACATTTTACATTTAGGATGGCAGACATCGGGGATGACACAAGAACTCCTGATATTGAAAGACAGAGAAGTTTTTCTCAAGATGGAAGTAAACAAAAGAAAGAAGGCTTTTAGTTGATGATGGAGTTGTAAATGAAATCTATTGTATTGTAATTGATTTATTGGAACTCAATAAAATCATAATAAAAAAGATTTATTTAAGAGTGCGATAAGCTTTAAGATTTTGCTGCAGAAAGCAGGGCTTGAAAAAAAACACTTCTTTTTCTTCATCAGAACAATTCCTGTACACTTTGGAATCTTTGAATATGGGGAAAATATGATAAAGGGATATTTGTTTGCATCTACAAAGGGGTGAAAACTAGAGTAGTTATTCATTTTCACATGCAAAGATGAACTAGAGAAGGTTTTGCATGGCTACTCTACCATCATTGCATGAAGACTTTTGAAAGAGTTGTTGTTGTGCACCTTCACGGTGAACCTGCCATATATATATAGGCAAAATTTGTTCAGAGGGGATTTGTCCTTGCCTGAAGCTGAGAAAGTATGACTTGCCCAAGGTCACTTTATGGGTTTCCATGGCTGAGTAGGGATTTGAACCCTGGTCTCCCAAAGAGGCTGAGAATGTGTGACTTGCCCAAGGTCACCCAGTGGGTTTCCACAGCTGAGTAGACATTTGAACACTGATCTTCCAGAGCACCCAATGCTCAAACCACTACACCACACTGGCTCTCTGTTTGGCAGAATACATTGGGATAAATCTGAGGAACTTGAGATGTCTTTTAATAGTTATATCAAACAAAATTCATGAAGTTGAATTGTCATGTGATTAAATTCTGTTGACTTTGTCATGATGTTAATGGATTGCTAGAAAATCAATAAAACATATTTATTTATTTTTTAAAGGCAAAATGTGTTTAGGCATACACCTGTGAGATTCTACAGAGCTAAAAACAGTTGTGGCAAGATCACATTGTATGTGATCTGAAGTCTTGGGAATCCACAAACAGTGTAGGCATTGTGTTCATCATGGGAAGCCAGTTAGATTATGTAATTAAAAACAGCCATATGCTCTAAAGACCACCTTTTAATCTCAGGAAATTAGAAGAGACATGAAAAAAGAGGCAAAGGAAAGAAAAGAGATTTGTAAGCAAAATGTAAAAATTTGACTAATCATAAATAATAACACATATGGTCAGTTTCAAATTACGTGCTTAATCTTTTCATCCATATTGGGACAATTTCATGTAATTTTAGAAGCACAAAGGTTTTGTTTCAAACCAAACAAGCAACTTGAGATTCTGAGATTGTTTTTTTAATGTCCTTTTTCCTGTCAATGTGTATTTTATTTCTTATATGTGGACTGCAGTGTGTTGAGTTTTGTTTTTTATAAAAATGTATAAACATTTTGTCAATTGATTACTAATCTACTTTTAGCAAATTAATACCCGTATTACTTTGGGGAAGGTAATTAACAGCATTCTTTTTGCAAAATATCAGCATTACTTTTTCCAAGTAACAAGTAACATTTATATAGTTAAAATATTGACTTTGGGAGTCAGTGAGAAGGTTAGTTGGAACTCCTTTTGCAAAAATTTTGCTATTTTTGTATTTTTAAAGTATTTTTAAAAATAAAAATCCTAAAAAGAAATACGCTAGTAATGTGTTACCATTAAAGTATGTGCATTTGCAGATCCATCTACAGATCTCTGTTGATAAAGACAACAGAATAACCTGGGGCCCATCCACACTATATGATTATAGTGCTACATTCCAGTTTAACTGTCATGGCAACATCCCATGAAATCTTGGGATTTGTAGGATACAGGGGGCCATTCTACCAGAGAATTTCAGTCCTTCACCAAACTACAAGCTGCAGGATTCAATAGGTAGGGCCTTTGCAGACTGCCAGAAATAGTGCAAATTGAGTCCACTTTAACTGCCCTGACTCAGTGCTAGGGAATCATGGGAGCTGTAGTTTATTGTGGCACCAGAGCTCTCTGACAGAGACGTCTCAATGTCTCAGAAAAAAATACAATTCCCATGATTCCCTAGCACTGAGTCAGGGCAGTTAAATTGGACTCAATTTGCACTATCTCTGGCAGTCTGCAAAGGCTCGTAGTTAAAGCAGAACAATAGCACTATAATTGTGTAATGTGAATTGGCCCTTGGACTTCTTTGCCTTGGGCTACAAAGCTCTCAGATGTTCAGAACCAAAGGTTCCTCATTTCCTAATTTAAAGAGTACAACATTTTACTTCTCACAAGAGAGAGAACCCTGAATTTTTGTGTGACCATTTTTGTTGTCCATCAAGTTGACTGACTGCCTCGGCAGATGAGTAATAGAGTCGTCTTCCAGGCAGGGAAGAGGAGGGGCAGCCGCACGTT